TTGTCTCTGCGGGAACTTCAAATTCGAATCTTTGATGTGTGGCTCATCGTTACTCGTCATGGGCAAGGTGTATCCTTTTGGAATACGGTGTAACCCCTCCGAGAGGTAAATCAGAGGTCACGGTTGAATTGCTCTCTTTAAGGCATGAACTTCTTTACTCGTCATTTTGTTCCAAACATGCTATTGAAGTTGCACTTTTCTTGCATTGTTATGCACACCTTGTTTGCGTTGTTGCGCACGTTTCCTGCATTGTCATGCACTTTTCTTGCATTGTCATGCACACCTTGTTTGCGTTGTTGTGCACGTTATTTGCATTGTCATGCACCCCTCCACTTGCGTTGTCACGCGCTTTTCACTTGCCTTGCCATGCATGTATCTAACGATATTGTACCTATTGAGTTTCATCCTTTTGCAGGCACGATATTGTATGTACGGTTCATTTGAAGCTGGCGCGACCAGACGAGCCGAATGGTATTGTATTCTCTGCGTGAGACGTAGCGAGAATTGTATAATTCTCTCACATTTTTCTGCATGAAATGCAGTTTGATTTGTATTCGTTCGCTTAAAACTGTCGCATTTATTGTGTATAACTGCTTCGTTACAGCTTTCTTTGCATGATCATAAGTTATGTTTGGCCTCGTGCATGTCTTTTGCATTTTACCCCTGCCTGTGGGCACGTCTCTGTGTTATCTGGCCTGTTTGTCTAAGTATTCAGCCTTGTCAAAAATGAGTTGTCTCTGGGCTCTGACATTCACTCCCATCACTTATGACTTTCAAGTTCTATCAAAGAGGGGCAACTGTAGACACCTCATTTTTGACTAACCTTAAGACTCAGACGTCATCGATTGAGCACTCGATGATAGTGCATGTTGTGCTCATTTCGAGCTTCAGAGTTTTGGCTGAGAGCCTTGCCTCCAGGTCTCCGAAATCTTTGCGCTTTGGCTCGGTTTGTGGACCAAAGACTTGTTTCCCTTCCCGGAGGGAGGGAGAGGTCTTGTAGACCATCTCTCTGTGGTCGTAGACTACTTTTCGTGGTCGTAGGCCACTTTTCCCGTTTGGAGACTAGTTTCTGGTTTTTGGAGCCTTCGGCCGTGCGCCTTGTCTCGTGACCGCTTAACGTTCTCCGTTTGGCTTGGTTTTTGAACCACACCTTGCTTCCTCTCCCTAGAAAGAAACTGTGGTCATATACCGCTTTTGGTGCTCAACAGCTGGGTTTCGAGGCTCCCGGCTGTGCGCTTTGCCTCCCTAACTCTCGTTTTGCATCCGTGTTGGTTTGTTTTTTGTACAAACCTTGTTTTCCTTGCTTGGAAGGTGGTACGAGGGTGGGAGACCCGTTTTTTTCCCTCGGAGACCACTTTCCTTCCTGCCAGCCGATTTTCTGGTCAGGAAACTGGTTTTCTTGGTCTTTGGGCCACCTTTTCTGGTCTCCACCCCACCATTGGCTTGCTTTCAGTGTCGATACCACCATTTCCCCCAGCCGACCACTTTTTTTTCTGGGAGACCACTTGAAGTGGTCGGCAGCTCTCCCATTGGTTTGGCAGACTATGAGGATGCCAGTTATGCCAGCTGGGGGGCACAGACTGTATCCTCCATACACGTGTATGGAGGGATGGCATCCAGGTTTTAGCTTCTCTAAGAAGCTTTAGCTTTTGTTTTTCTATAAGAGAGAGCCTCCCTCTCCATTCCAGAGATTCTGAAATTTCCCTAAGGCATAAGTATATAACTCCGTCTATATCTCTATATTTGGTGCCTAAAGAGGGTGTTGTTCTTCACTTTTGCACCACAACTCTTAACCATACACCCCCATCATTAAACTTAGGTTCTTGGAGGACATTTTGGAGGTTAAAAAGAGGGTTCTTGGCTGAGAAATTTGCTGGTATTGCAGTGCTTCAAGGGTAACCTCTTTTCTCCCTTTTAAGCTTTGTTTTGATCACTCTCTTAGCCATATTTGCATGCTTCTCTTGGCTTAACATTGAATTGTAAAGGCTCTATTTTTTAGTCCTTAGCATGTTTGTTTAAGGCCCTTTTCGTGTTGAGGGCCTTCTACCCTCTTGCATGCCTTGTTTAGTGTTGTTTTGTGCCATGCCTTAAGGCCTTTGGGTTGGTCTTTGCATGGCCTTTTAGCCACTGAAATACAATGGATTTTTAATGGTAGGCATGTCGTTTTGAGGCCTCAAATCAGAGGGCGGTGATCCCCTCTCTTCTTGTTTTGTTTGCTTGCATTTTTGGCCTATCAAAGGAGCATGCATCTTCATACTTTCAAGGCTTGGTTCAGGCACTTTTCCATTACCTTTAGGGCCTGCCTTAGCTCTGTCTGTGGCTGGTTTGGCCTCTTTGTGTTTGCTTCTTGTATGTGTAGTGTATTTTCATTTGTGGCTCATCAAAGTAGCATGTCTTTCTAGCATGTATTGGCTCCATTTCAGTAGATTTTTGGCCATCATTTGACATGTCATGATTCTGTTTTTGGCTGGTTTGGTAGCCTCTTGGATGCTCCATATGCTTGTAGTGTAAATCTTGTTTACTAGCTTTGTATGCATGGTGTTTTGGCTCATGATTTTGTGCTTATTTTAGGCTGTCTTAGCTCTGTTTTGAGGCTTCTTGGTCGATTGAGGCTTGTCATGCATGCTTGTAGTGTAATAGCCTTGACTAACTTTGAGTTTTGAGGTCTTTTGTATGCTTAACTTGAAGTATTTGCATGTTTTGGCATCATTGAGAATGATATTTCAGAGCATGTAGGGCTGTTACACTTCCATATTTTCCGCTCTTTAAGTGCTCTTGAGGGTTGTGCTTTTTGTGCCCTATTTGTGAGCCATTGCATGAGCCTCATTTTCGTGCCTTTCAAGCCATCATCCCAACTCATTTTTACTACTGTTTTGGCCTGCATAGGGTCTGTTCGGGGTTAGTTTGGCCATTTGAGCATTATCTTGCATGCCTCTAGTGTAATCCACTTCACTAGCTTTGACGCTTGAGCTTTTCAACATGCATCACATGGGTTGTTCACATGATTCTAAGTCATTTTGCATGGCATTTCAGTGCTGGAACATATGCCATTGTACCTCGTGTTTCATCCTTTCAATGCTATTGGGGAGTTGTGTTTTGAGCCATAAGCTTGGGCCAATATGCATGCATGTTTGTATAGCATTTTAAGTTTCTATCTTAGCATGTATGGCCACTGATTTGGGCATGACTGAGGTCAGTCCATTTCGGTTTAAGTCCATCGAGCATTGTGTATGCCATGTGGTTCATTGCGTTGTGTATGCCACGTCCATTTGCATTGTGTATGCTAGTTGTTGTTCACATTGATTGCATGCATATGTTGCCTTGTATTGAGTATGTATGCATGTGCATTGAGTATGCCATTAGCCTTGTTAGCTTGTTCATGTTGCATTGCATATTTTCATGCTTGTCCCTTCCATCTTGTTCACATGCTTGTTTCATTGCATTGTATGTTCGCATGCTTGACCCATGACATGTTATTTGTTGCATTGTGTTTGGAATAGGAGTTAGTCCAAACACGGGAAACGAGGGGCGTTTCATACTCGAAGTGATGAAATGTGCCTCAATTCTCGGTCGCCGACACTATTGACTATACATGATGGAGTTTTAGGCTTTATGTGTTCGTGTGTTCATTAATTTCATATTGAGTTATACAACTTGGGCTCCTCGGCCATCATGCATCGAGATGTGTGATTGGTGGCCCGAGGGTCGAGAACCACCCCCCCTTGAGCTTATGTAATTAGAGGGAGGGTGGTTATGCATACATGTGTTGCAAATACTTTGCCATGCCCCTTTCTTGCTCTCTGTTGCAGCAAACTAAAGTCTGGTAGCAGAAACTGGTCGGCTGACCAGATAAAGAGGCTGGCAGACCACTTTTTCTGGTTTTCAGCACAGAAAGTGGTCGGCAGGTGGTCTCCAATGCCAACAATTGGTCGGTATCCCTCCTACAGATTCCCATGATGGAGTTTCAGCCTTCTAGAGCTTTTTGCAGGGTTCTGAGACCAGTTGCAAACAGAGGCAAGTCGGGGCATCGCGATGGATTTTCGCACGAGGTGACCGGGCATGCATCCTTCGTCATCCAAGGCAGATTGGAGGCAGCCTATTGCCTTGTTTAGTGTTGTTTTGTGCCATGCCTTAAGGCCTTTGGGTTGGTCTTTGCATGGCCTTTTAGCCACTGAAATACAATGGATTTTTAATGGTAGGCATGTCGTTTTGAGGCCTCAAATCAGAGGGCGGTGATCCCCTCTCTTCTTGTTTTGTTTGCTTGCATTTTTGGCCTATAAAAGGAGCATATGTTTTCATACCTTCAAGGCTCGATTCAGGAACTTTTTGGTGACTTTTAGGGCCTGCCTTAGCTCTGTCTATGGCTGGGTTGGCCACCTTGTGTTTGCCTCTTGCATGTGTAGAGTAATCCCATTTGTGGCTTATCAAAGTAGCATCTCATTCTTGCATGTATTGGTCATATTTCAGTGGGTTTTTGGTCATCATTTGGCATGCCATGACTCTATTTTTGGCTGGTTTGGTAGCCTCTCACATACTTCATATGCTTGTAGTATAAATCATGTTTACTAGCTTAAAATGCATGATGTTTTGGCCCTCTATTCTAGCATATTTTGGCCATGCTCCAACCTGGCTTTGTTCCTATTTTGGGCTGCCTTAGCTCTGTTTTGAGGCCTCTTGGTCGAAATATGCTTGCCATTGTAGTGTAATAGCCTTGATTAGCTTCGAGTTTCGAAGTCCCTTGCATGCTTAACTTGAGGTATTTTCATGTTTTGGCATCATTGAGCATGATATTTCAGAGCATATAGGGCTGTCATACTTACTAATGAATTCTTGTATTCCTTTTGAAATATCCTACATTTCACATCATTTGTATTATTTTGAAATATTTAAAAAATCTCACATTTCAACTCATTTCAAATTAAAAAAAAAATTCTTATATAAAAATTAATTCCAAATTGATGTAACTGCTGATTGTTAAGCCAAAAAATAGCCCCAGTCGAGGATATAGGTGAACCAAAGCAGAAGATGAAGACGAAAAATTTTCGGAAAAGAAATATAGAAGACGTAGTAGAAGAAGACCAAATTCTAAGAAACAATGGTTCAGATGGCGAAGAAGAAGAAAGGCGGTAAACTTTTTGGAGCATCGTGTTGTTGTTGTTTTTTTGGCTATTTTGCTGAACCATCTAATATTATTAGGGTTTTGTGCTTCTTCTATTCCCATTTATTTTTGGTTCAGATTGGCGTTAGAAGAGGTGAAATTCCTTCAGAAACAGAGGGAGAAGAAGTGGGGAATTGCAGCAATAAGTAGTAGCACAATAGTGCAGCGTAGTGGTGTTGGCGGCGGCGGTGGTGGTGGTGGTTTGGTTGCAAAGAAAGCAAGCGAGAAGAACGATGGGGATGGGGAGAAAGACGAATTGGTCTTGCAGGATACCTTCGCTCAAGAAACTGCTGTCATGGTCGAAGACCCCAATATGTACGCTCATTTCTTCTTCCTTTCCTTCTCTACCTGTGTTGTGTTTTCTTCCCCTCTAATCATATCTATTTAATTTGAATACCCTTTTTTCTTTTTTGGTATTTTTGTTACACACTGCTAAATTTAGTATTTCACACTATCTGCTTGTAGTTAACAAAACGAAACCAAACCAAGCATTGTGTCTAGGGTTGTTCATGGGTCGGTTTTGATACTAAATTTAGCACCAACCCAATCATAATCGGTTCAAAATTTTTGGACTCAGAACCAAACCAATTATGCAGTAGAACCAGCCCAACCCAATGCAGCTTGGGTTGGTTCAGACAATATTAAAAATAAGTGAATAAATCAATAATAAGGCTTTAACGTTTAAACATAACACAGACAAAGAGTAAATTATTGTTTAATGCAAGCTAATACGAATTAAATCTAACTCAACTGTAAACATAACTAATACAAATTAAATTCATTCATATAATCAATACAAATTAAATCAACTGTGAAATCTAGCTTAGTCTTCTAGTATGTCCTTCGTCCACCTAATAATTTTTGTATGTGAAAAATTATTTGGTGAAATCAAGTTCATTGTAATAGACCAATTGGGTGAAAATATGCCAATATAAATAAAATTAAAAAAATATATATATGTTTGGTTTTCAAGTTAGTTTGGTTTAGACAAAGCTTAAATCAAGAACTAACCCAATCCTATCGGGTTGATGATTTGAAGACTTAGAACCAAACCAATGCACTCAACTATGAAGTACAGACTCCTTTTCGGACGTCACATACATGTGTTCGATTCATTGGAAAGAGTCGAACACGTTGGGAAGCTTGGTACACGCTGGGGACAAGCTGGGGACACGTTAAGGACACGCTGATGACTATTTTTAATTTTTTTTTACTAAAATAGCATACCTAAGTTTGATAAAATTAAATATTTGACATAAAATACAAATTAAATATTTAAAAATATGACATAATAAATATATAAAATTATATGTTTTGCATGCATCCATAACATGTGGTGTCCTGCATTTTTTAAAAATTTGCGTATCAGCGTGTTTGTGTCATGTCAACTGTCCATGTCCGTACTTCTTACTAGGCACTCAAAAACCAAACCAACCTAACCCAAAGAGGTTGATTTGGTTCGGTTCTTCGATTCATTGAGTAATTTGAATACCCCTAATTGTATCCAATCAAGTGGAGTTAGCTACACAAATCATTTTTTGTCATTCAATTCTATTTTGATCGACTGCGTGTTTAGTTAAATTAAATAAATTCATATATATTTTTTTACTACAGCATCCCATTTCAAGGTCTTCCCCTCGTCCCCCTAGCATATCTCCATTTGGGGTGATCCTTTTTTCTTCTCCCCCCTAGCATCACCATTCAGCTCTATCTGTGCTCACCAACATTTGCAGAAATGTGATGGAACCAGAGTTCTATCTCTATGGTACTTTAGTGGCTGAAAAAGCACGGAAGGTCACTTTGAGAGGATTTGACCTCCTTACCTTTAAGCAAAATTCTTATTGAATGCATAAAATAGCCTTATGGCATCTACAACCAGAACATCAGCTAGCAAAGGAAAATAATAAAAAATTTACAGGGACCAAAAAAATAAAATAAAAAAGGGGCCAAAACATTGGTGTAATTAATTCCTTTATTCCAGCACAGTCCCGTGATGATGACATGGAAAATACAACAATAGGAAGCAATTGTATCAAAATATTCTTATTTTTCTTATTATTATCATTATTATTTCTTAGTAATTGTTATTTTTATTATTGTTGTTATTATTTAACAAAATGATTAGGTCATTGGTGAATAGTGTCTACCCGAGGCCAAAGAACCTTCACTCCACTATACATGCCCCTGTCCAAAGCACTAGGGGTTTTGATCAAGAAAGGGAACTTGAAGCCCCTGGAGCCGCGACCATTGCCAGAAACCCTTCCCCTCTCCCATAACCCAGCTAAATACTACGCCTTTCACCAACAGCATGGTCACGACACCGACCATTGCTTTAGATTGCGTCACGAGATTCAAGATCTCGTTGACAATTGGGTGATTGTGCCTCTGGAAAAACCGAATGTCACAACCATCCCTCTCCCGCCACATAACCAAGCTCCACCTCCCAAACGCATCAATCTAATCTAAACTGGGGTTGTGTCATACGACCTTAGCGCATACATCACCCCGTCCCACCTACCCAAGTCGGAGGTGTTCATTTCTGACAGCACTGACTTGTGCATGTTGGACATCTCCCGAACCCAACCTGAACCAACGGTGGTCATTATCGAAGATAGGACAGGGATGATTTCGGCGGAAAGTGGGACTGTTAATTTAGGGTCTGAGGAATTTTGGAGCTTTTCTGAGGAGGTATACAATCTGAGTGGCTACATTATGTCAGCAGGCCAAGTTAAGCCGAATGTGGAATTGCCAGTGGGGGCAGAGATTTGTGTGGTACGAGAGGATGGACTTGATCAGAGGCTAGATGACTTAGCAGATCTGGAAGAGGACATTGCTAACCTTCAGTTTTTCAACGAACAAGATCCAAGAGACATGACAGTCAACTGGTTTGATTTTGATGGGTCAGCAGAGGCTACAGGGTGGCTTGATGACCAACCAGATGTTGTTGAAGAATCTCAAACAGAACAGGGCCCATCAGGGACAAGGACATCAGCTGTGGCCGGAAGGGCCGGGAATCAGAATGCATCGTTGGAAAGCGCCAGTGCCAAGAATTTCGCTTGAGATCTGGGCATTTTGAATACAGGAGATATTGAACAGCAGGCTGCACTGAAGCAGTTTGAACGGGAAGGGATCGAAGATTCTGAGAGAGCCAGAAAGGCCAAAGCCCCTGTGGGGACTGAACGTGCTATGTGCACAAGGACAGAGCGTGCTGCAAGCACATGGACGGAAGGTGCTATGGGTACAAGGATAGTTGTAACGGAGCCAGACAGGTGTTTGTCGGCTGCCGATGGCATGTGGTGGGAACACGATGACCTATGTCTTGCCCACACCGATGAGGACTGGGGGAATAACCAGCCGAATGATACCTGGTATATTGGCGAAGTTGACCACGTGACTAGGAGCGGGCGATATTTCAAACCCCCACACCTAGATCAACTAGAGGCGTCCGGAAAGGACAAGGAGACGGAGAAGCAGAAAGAAAAGCTACTCGAAGAAGAGACTGTGCCGAGATAGTTGAAAAAGATACAGGCAGACATCTCCATCTGGGACTGCTTATGGCTTCACTAGTTCATAGACAAGCTGTCCTATTTGCAATGGACAAAGCCAAACTCTCAATAGACACCACGCCTGAGCAGCTGGTAGGATTGGTTTTTCCGAGAGGGGCTTCCCTGATGTTGACCTTTTCCGACAAGGAACTGCCGCCTGAGGGTGCAAATCATAACAAACCTCTCTACATCTCTGTGGAATGTAGAGACAAGTGGGTACTGGTAATTCTTGTTGGCACGGGATCCGCTATTAACGTGTGCCCGTCGAGGACGGCATATGCAATTGGGTTGAAGCCCGCGGACTTTGTGCCAACAGCCCAGGTAATAAGGGCATATGAAAATACTAGCAGAGAAGTGATGGGGACCGTAAAGATCCAGACTCAGGTTAGTCCAGGACAACATGAGATTGACTTCCATGTCTTGGACGTTCCCGCGACCTTCAATCTACTCCTAGGGCGGCTGTGGCTGCACCAGGTGAGGGCGGTCTCTTCTACCCTACATCAGATGTTGACGTACCCCCATGGGAAGGGGGTGTCTATAGTTTTTGGGAATTCGTCAATCCATCCGCCGCCAGAGGTGTCTACACCGGTTTTGGAAATTGAGCATGGCACGGAGGATATGTTCCTGTCAGGATTTACCCTCGCCGAGGCCCGGGTCGTACATAAAGCTCTTTGATCGAACGAGCAGGGGTGCTCATTGCATGACCTTCCCCTCTCGTACCCAGGTTCCCTAGTCGAGGCAACTTTGGTGATGACGGACACGTGGCCTTAGGCACGAGTCAAGGTTTCCTAAATTCCCCCAAAAATAATATATTAGGGTGGCGACTCTGTATCTGGCAAAGCAGTCCATGTTTGGCACTTCTTTCTTAAAAATCAGTTTTTCAAAACGATTTGCTGGATTTGGACTCTTTGGTGATTTATCGGTCTTGCATCGCACTTTGCGAGATTAGATTCACAACCGTGACATTAAGTCCGAACTGTAGCAGCTAGAGAACAAAACGAGATTTTCTCGGGAGTTCTCCGGGCGGTCTACCGAGTGATGTGAGAATTATAAATTAGCAGGGTGAGAGGCAATACCTGAAGAAGTAACGGACTCCCTACAAAGCGAGTGGTCTTTCGCCGATGAATGGCATCCAAACACATCAAGGTTTTGGCCAGGGCCTGGCCCATGCAACTTTTACCCTCTTTCAGACCTTGGGCCACTTCGATCAACCAGATGCTGGCTCCGCTGGAACTAAGGGCAAGAAGGAATTGTGCAAGTAAACATAAACAGAGAGTATGTTGCTGATAACCTCACTAGAGAAGGTCATCCTTGTTTCCAATAGCAGAAAATCGATGAACTAAGCCGGGGATGTCTAGCTCCCAATCATGGGCCAAGGACCAAGCCTCATGTGTTGAAAACCCACACATTCATCCCAAAGCCTAGGCATGGACAAAGCCTAGGCATGGACAAAGCGGAGCTGAGGCATGATTTCTTCGTTGCGCCGGGATTCCATCAATGCTTGAAATTCTTCGATTGTCGGACATATCTCCTGTGATCTAAAGCGAAACACATGTGTGATCAGGTTCCAGCATCGAGCAGGGGTGTGGAGGAATGGAAAACAAAGCAAGGTACGACTTAGAGGAAAAGGAGCGTTTAGGCCAAAACTACAAAAGTTCACCTTTTCCGAGCCATCCAAAGTGGCTATCCAGTCTCGAAGCCTATTGTCGAGAAGAGTCTCCATCTTGAGAGCAAAATACCTAGAACTGGCGATTATACCTGGAAAACTGTCACGACCCAAACCTGCCCCCTATAGGTTTAGCATCATGACTGGCCAGTAATCATAGATTACCTACGGCCTCCATACAAATAAAACTTTAATGTAAAGTACGGGGCTTAGCGGAAGTCAAAAAAAATGTTATAGAATTCATCCATTGAGCCGTGCATATATGAGGGGAACAAATATGATAAGCAAGGTTTTATTTCAAAATTACATCCAACATAAGTACAAATTCATATCTTACAAAATGCAACCCCAACTATGTACAAATACAAAACCATTAAACCATACAAAAGGGGTTCGACAAGCGTGGCTCCACCCAAGCCTGATTACTTCACTTGGAAGCTCCACAAAAGGCTGACCCGGGTAAACTTGAGGCTATCTAACTCTGATGTTCAGTTTGCCCACCTACAATTACATATATAAATAAATAGTGAGCTAGAGCCCAATGAGTAATAATAGAATAAATAGGTTAAGTGAATGAAGTTCGACATTAGTACAAAAACCTGTCTTATAATTTCAAGGGAGGCATTTGCCATATTAGATCAAACTCGCTACAAAACATTTTGATTAGCAATAATAGCATCTCTTTGTAGTAACAAAAGCCATTCGTAATATTATATGTGGTACATCCATGAAGTGACAAATATTATTCCAATGATAACGTATCATACTAGCCATGGTATTGTTACCCCCAGGCAAGTGCCTAGCCATAGTAGAGTTACCCCCAGACAAGGGTCTAGCCATGGTATTATTACCTCAGGCAAGGGCCTAGCCATGGTACTATTACCCCCAGGCAAGGGCCTATATTCGATGGATGCCACAATATCATTTCAAAACAGAACTTCATTCATTGAATGACATGACAATTCAAGAAGCCATGCTATCAATTATCGAATCATTTTAAGAATTCATTCAATCAATCACATATCTTTATAAGGTTATTACTCATAGTGGTTTACGGTGACACTATGCCTCGAACGTCCACCTAAATGAAGCACATAACAAAGTACAAATGAAACTCCATTTCATTTTATTTCAATTCCCTTTATGCGTCTCTAACTTATTGTATGATTATCGGAGTCCAAAAGGTGCCTAAGAATGCTTGGAGTGGCATGAGGATGCAAATATGCACTTAAAAGAGTTGGCAAAATTTTGCTGAAAACAGGGTCTCCGCTCGAGCGCAACTTCCTACGCTTGAGCGGGGGTTAAAAAACAAAGGTGGTCGCTCTAGCGTAATTTTTGTCGCTCGAACGGTCTGCAAAAGTACTGGATACATAAAATTTCTGCTCGATGGTCGCTCGAGCGGAAGACTGAGAAAAAGGGTCCTCGCTCGAGCGCCACTTTGGTCGCTCGAGCAGACTGTAAAATTTCAAAAACTTTTGGGAGCCCGAATTCCATACTCGAGCATGGACTCCCTCACTCGAGCGGACAGCACGAATTCTGGAATTTCCAAAAATGTGTTTGAAGTTCAAACATGGTACTCAAAGCTTCAAATCTTGTGTTTTTCGATATAAAACATGGAGTAAACCATGGAGAGTCACTATATAACATGAAAACACTTCAAATTGGAACCCATTTATTCAAAATCAAGGTAATTTCCCAACCAATGACTCCAACCTCAATTTATAAAATAAGTTTAACTCTATTTGAGTGTACATTTCTCCAAAACAAGTTCAAAATATGATCAAGTGACATGAGAAGCATGAAAACATGAAAGATTCTACAAAATGAGGTATAATTGTGCCTTGCATGTAGGAATTTCATGGAGCTTAACTCAAAATATGCATGCATGTAAGCAATTCATCTCCATTCTTCCATTTTTA